TGTCCAGCAAAATCTGGGGGGAAGCAACAATCACCTCTTTTAGGATCTTGTTGCTTATCCCATCGATTCCAGGCGCCTTGCCTGTCTTCAATCTTCTACCTGCTGATTCCAATTCTTCAAGAGTAAAGAGTTCTTCCCCTGTGACTATGCAAGAACTCCAGTCCTTCCTAAGCCACGGTTCTGCAGGAGGAAACAGGGCTTTTATTACCTTTCTGACCCAATCGGGATTGTCCAGGCCGGGGGTCTTTTGCCTCGTTACTAATTTCTTAGTAACGATTTTAAAAGCCAGACCCCATGGGTCCTTCTCGACGTCCTCGATTAGGTCCTTCCAGCTACGGCGTCGCGACGCGCGGATCTCTTTGCTGAGGTTCTTTTTGGCCTCCTTGTATGCTTCCTTGAGCAAGGGATCTCCCTTAGATCGGGTATATGTCCTTCTTGCTCTGAAACATGCCTTTCGCAAGGAGGCCAACCTTTCTGACCACCAGTGCAAGGATCTCTTCTTGGGGAATGTGCCATTGCGACGCGGCATTGACGCATCGCAGGCGGTGACGATTATATTTCTCACCGCCCGCACTTCCCCATCAAGACTGTTCGGCCTCCTTACCCAGCCCAACTCTTGAATTAAGCGGGCTTCTAGAAGGGACTGGCCGAACTTCTCCTTGTCGAGTCTCTTAGTGTTCCACGAGGGGCTTTTTCGACTAGGAGCTTCCTGTCTTCTGCCTCCTCGTGTGTCTCCCACTGAGACTGAGAACTCGATGTACTGGTGGTCACTTGCGGTATAATCCTCAGAGACCCGCCAGTCGCATATGCGGCTAAATATTTTGGAGGATGCGATCGTTAGATCTATAATGGATCCGATCACATCCCTCCGAAACGTCCATGTTTTCCCCCGGTTTACAACTACTAGGTCGTTCCTGGAGATCATTTCGCCGGTCAGAATTCCTCTTTTATCGAGCCTTGTCTCGCCCCACTCTGGAGACTTTGCATTAAAGTCGCCAGTGACGAGAACATCCAACTTGGATTGACGAAGGCTCGACTCGAGGTCCTGTATATCGGATTCGAAGTCTGTCAGTGGATCATTTGGCGAGAAGTAGCAGCTATACATACGTATGTTAGCCACCTCCACCCAAACAAATCCACTGCTCGTCTCCAGGAACTTGTCAACCCGCAATTCTGGGTTGCACACCTTGATGGCGGCTCTCTTCGCCTTGTCCTGATACCAGGGAGTGAGATCGCTTCCTCGATACTGCTCACTGCAGAACAGGATATCGATCTCATTTTCCCTGGCTGTTTGCATCAGGAGGACCTGTGCATCCTTACTTGTATGCAGGTTGACCTGAAGAAGCTTTAAGGATTTGCCCTTTTAAGCTTCTCCAGTTCCTCCCTGTAAACCGGGCAGGAAATTCTTCCACTTACATGGTCCGTTTCGGTCTTTCCCAAATCAATACATGTTAAGCATGAACTTTTGTCTGAAGTGCAATTTTTTGCGAAGTGACCCTCCCCGCCGCATCTCCGACAGTTATTTTTCCTGTCGGGGCCCTTGCATGTTCGGGTCACATGACCATAAGCAAGGCACTTTTGGCACCTTGCCACTTCCAGATGTTCCCTGATTGGAGCGTTTATCCAACCTATTCTAATTTTCCCAAGGTTTAAAAGGGATTCGCCCACTGTATCCCGTAAGCGGACAAGTGCCACCTTAGTACCACTAAACCGTGGCAAAAGTCGACACGAAATGTCGAGGTCCGGCTTTTCCAGTTTAGCCTTAATAGCAGAAACCACGTCCTCCTCGGTTGTGGTTTCGTCGAGCTCTTTTATTTCTAATGTCCTCTTATTGACAAGAGCCGTAACCTCGGCTTTGTCACGGAGGACAGAGGTAATTGCTCCTGCGAGTTTAGAAGTTTCGCCTCCTTTTTTCACCACAAGGAGAACCTCTTTTTTTAAGGTTCTCCTAATTCTCAGAACCTCGGTGCCGTTTTCTTCTGGTTTAACCGAAGTTTTCATCAGCTTCAGGATCTCGACATAGGACTCTGGGTTCAATGCCGAAATCCTAACAGCCTCCGTGGTTCTGAGTTTTGTGGGGCGCTTCCTTATCTCGCTTTCCTCTTTCTTCTTTGAGGTCTTCTTCTTCCGTGCCTCTCTCTTCTTATTGACGACCACCTTGAAGCCGCCGCCAACAACTACAGCATTTTCTTTGCTTACCTCAGCATAGGTCTTTTTAGTTGTCTCTTTTGAGACAACCTCTTGCTGAAGAGTCTCCATTGCTGGTGTATCAGCAGAAACCTCCTTCCGCTTGACTCTCTTTTCTTCTTGAGACACGGGCTGAGAGCTCGTCTCCGGACTTCCACAGTCTCTTTGACGCTTTTTGGCGTCACTAGTGCAAAGCCGCTTTTCCGCATTCTGCTTCTGATGCACGGGCGTTCCAGGACTCATCCTTGGTTGGTCCTGATTTAAGAAGGGATCCGATATAAACCGCAGATTCTTGCGTACTATATCAAATGCCCTCCCCAGGGCCACAATACCGTCCTGGACGTCCCTGCTTATATTTTTTTGTTTTTTGCAGGCATGACGCATGCCCTCCAGCACTTGCGGTATCAACTCCAACTGCTTCCGAACATTTTCTTCGCAGTTGCTCGTGGTACTGTCCCTTTCATTATTGATTTGGCCACCCCCAAAATCCGTGGGGCCTGCACTGACTACCGAGGCTTTCACCCGATCAGAATCAGTGGGAGTATTGTCCCCTTGCGGGGTTCCTCCTTGGGTTAAAATTTTAATTTCCCTACTCATTTCATATAAAATTTTTGGTTTATTTGGTCAGGGAACCACCCTGGTTGTTGGTTGTCCTTTAGTGAAAAGCCCCACCACCACGACAAGGTCTACCAAGAATTTACACGATTCTTGGCAGTGGACAACCATCGGCAGGGGATTAAATGCTCGTTTAATATTATTATTAAATATTGGAGGACGTTAATGACTTTTTTAATAAATTAATTAATTTATAATTAATTATATCAAAATAATTAAATTACAAACATTTCCCAGAAAAAAAAATATTAAAAAAACTATAAATGAAGAAAAAAATAAGTTAATTTATATTTAAAAATTTCTAATAACAATTTTAATAATTTTCCAATTCTATGAAATTTCAGTGATTTAAAAAAAGGAAGCACCGGAAATTAGTACAATTTTCACTGATTTAGTTTATAATTTTTATTATTAATAATATGTATTATTATTATTTAATTAATATTTAGTTTTTTTTTAAAAGGACCTTAAGTTTTTGTCCAATCAGTAGAAGTTATTTCAAAAAAGTAGATATGTTTTTTTTCCATTACTTCCGTTAATATTATTATTATTATAATGGATTATAATTATATATGGATATAATAATAATAATAATAATAATAATAATAATAATAATAATAAAATAATCTTCTTTTTTGAAATAACTTCTACTCATATTGGATCAAAGGCAACAAAATTTAAAACACCTTTATTTGATCATTTAATTAATTTACTAGCGATGTATTGCTCGCTCGCTCGGTTATAGTTGTACTTATCGTTGTTTACTTATTGTAGTTTATGTATATTATATATATAATTTATGTTTTAAATTAATATCTTATTAATATTGTATAAAATTTATCTTAATTTTGATCAGTATCATTGAAGGATAAAATGACAATTGTTAAATATTAAATTTTTTAATTTATTATAATTATAACAACAATTTTAATTTATTATATTATAATATATTTTTTTTATATTATATTATATTATATTATATTGCTGTAAATTGCCCCACAAACACATGGAGATTTTGCAAATTTTTTAGAAAAATATTTATAATAAATCGAAAAACCTTTTAAAATATCGGTTTTTATTTTTATTATCTAGAGTAAACCTTTATAAAGATATTTTAAAGGTATATATCCAAAAATTCGTAAAAAAATTGCAAAAAATTGCAAAATAACCCTTTTTGGGATGAAAATGCAAAATAATAATAGAAGGTGTTTTGTTTTAAAATAAGAAATATGTTAAAATTATTAAGTTAAAAACAATTGATTTCAATGACACTTAAAATTAGACACAATATTATAGGTTCCTAACTAAAAATTAAAAAACATCAATAATTAATAAAAAAAAACCATAAAAAATTGGTAAAAAATTGTTTGTAAGTAACTTTTTAAAAATAGAGTAATTTTAAAGGTATATATCCAAAAATTCGTAAAAAATTGCATAAAATTGCAAAATAACCCTTTTTTGGGATGAATATGCAAAATAACCCTTTTTCGGGTTAAAATTGAAAAAACATGTTACAAAAAAAAGTATGTAAGATTTTCTAAAAGCATATGGCAAAGTATTTTGATTTATTTTAAAATAAGTGAAAATAGATTTTCCAAAGACGGTGTCGAGGTCACGGTGTCGGTGTCGCTTTTGGAAATTTGTTAACTTAATGTAATAGAAGATATGTGGTTTCAAAAATTAATTTAATTATTATTATTATTATTTTATTAATTTATTTTACCATTATTAAAAAAAAATTTAATGAATAAATTAATTACAATAAAGTATATATATAATTAATTATATTAAAATAAAATTAAAATACAAAAATTTACCATCAAAAAAAATTTTTTATTTTAAATTAAATAAAGAAAACAAAAATAAGGTAAATTATATTTAAAAATATTTGTAAACGAATATTAATAAAGGTTCCGATTAAAATTCACATAAATACGCGGAAGTTTTCTCAATTCATTAAACTATCGAGACGAGAGGAAAATATGTGCATGAGGTCTTGACCTTAGCCCTCATGGACACGTGGTGGTGATTATATTCCCTGCGCGAGATAGTTTATATATCATGAAGACATTGTCGGATGAAGAGAACTCCCGCTTCTTTATTTTTCTTTTTTTTCTTTTTTTTGCAGCGTGAATCGAGAGACAGATTTTATGTGTACCAATGGAGGTGGCGAGAGGCCCCACCTGTTAATAAAAGCCGCTCACTAAGCGCAACCACACAGACAGTCACAGAAAGCCGAGGAGCAGGAGCTGCGCGAGGCTCCCCTTCTTTAAAAAAAAAAAAATATATATATAAATATTATTTTTTATTTAAGTTCGAGTTTAAGTTCAAGTGAGACGGATTTCTGTGTGTGGTGAGTTTTTGAGATTAAATTGATAACGAAAAAAACAAGGATAAACTTCCGGTGTCAGCCAAAAAATTATTTATATAAAAAAAAACAATCCCCCCTCCCCTACCCCCTCAGCGACCAATTCAGTGCTAATTGAAAAAAAAGGATTAAGGATCATATTCGTGCCAATGAGATTTTGTGTTAATATTGTTCTTCCGGTTCCGCATATAAAATTGAAACAAGTGTAATTTTGTGGCTTTTGTGCTTAATTTTTTAGTTTAGTCGTGCTTCGGAAAAAAATGTTCCACTTATAAAAAAATTGGTTAGATATGGAAAAATAATTTCTTTATGCAAATATTTTTCTTTTTTTTTTCTTTTATTTAAAAGAAAAATAGTTTTCGAAAGGCGGGAAATTTTATTCAAATGTTACGCAATGATTCAAATTGATAATAGAAGCAAATAAATGAAATTGAATAATAATCGTCTTTTTAAAAAAGTTTGTGAATATAGAAATCGAAATTATATAATAAGAAGATAAACAAGAAAACTGACAAAAAATTTTATATGATTTAAATTTATTATCAAATAAAAATATTTTATTTAAATAACTTTTTAATTAATACATTCTATTTTAATAATATTTTAATAATTTCTTAATAATATTTTAATATTTTAATATTTTAATAATAATTTAATAATGTTTCAATAAAATTGTAATAATACTTTAATTATATTTTAATAATAATTTTAATTAATTAATTAAATAATTCCATTAATTTCATTAATAAGGAAACGTACAAAAATTTTTTTATCACTCATTCGATTTTGTTTATTTTCACTTTAAAGATCGATATTTATTCAATTAAGAGATATTTGAATATTTTAAAAATCTATTTGATCGGTGATAAAATCCGTAACTCGTTTTACAAAGTTATATAAAACAATATTTTTTGAGTCACGATCTTTCATGAAAAAAAAAATAAAATAAAAATAACCATTGACTGGACGAGAAAGTTTTCAACTCTCGATGGTATTTAGTAACTAAAGTTGCTATAAAACGTTTCTCGAATGTGAGTTAAGCGGTTAAGTGACAGAGATAGAAAATAAAAATTTTAAATTTGCGTTTAAATTTTTGGAAAATTTTTCGGTAAAATGAAAGCAAAAAAAAATTTTTTTTAAAATAGGAAAATAAAAATAATAGTAAAAAGAAAGCAATTATTTTTAGAAATTACTTTTTTTGACCTTTCTTAGGGAATTTACGAAAAAAAAAATGGTCAAATTCATATTATTTATTGTATATATCTTTCTTTGGAAAAACGTGAAGAGAAAAGCGAAACTTGGACGAGACTTGAGGAAACTTGATCTCGAAATGAAGCTTCGTTCTATCAGGAATGTCGTTTGAGACGAGAGTCGCGACGTGTTTTTGCTTTTGCAATATATGTCTTGCAAATTATCCTAATGGTCTAATTTAGCAATTTTTGGATTTCAAAGAATTTTTTTCATCGAAAAAAATAAAAAAAAAACAAAAGAAAATAAATTTTTTAATCTATTAATATATATTTAACTGATAAATAATATAAAAATAATAATAAATATTTCGTTATTAGAAACGAAAAATATTTCAAACTGCATAAATTACCAAAAAAATCACCAAATAAAAACATTTTTAATTTTGTAACATAATAAAATAACTATTTGTAAATTAAAAATTGCGTCATATATTTTTATTAAATAATTTGAATATATGTAAATATTAAAGTCATGGCTCAATTAACACGATTGGAATTTAAAAAGAATTCATTCATTTATAAAATGTCATTCAAAAATATTGCATCATTTAAATATAATAAATAGTAACTTGTTTTGCATGTAAATATAAAAATTTAATTTTGTTACATTACAATTTACAAACATATTAAATAACAATTTGATAGTAAAATTATTCAACTCCCGAATTCCTAATTTATTTTTTAAAAAAAAAAACCTCTTGCAACTAAATATATTATAAATAAGCAATAAATATTCGCTGACATGAATTTTATATAAAAATTTGCATTTTTTTTAATATTGACATTCATCAGGGGGAAAAAATCATGTTATCGACACGCTACCCTTGTCCTCCTTAAATTCTTTCATAAATAATAGATAAAAAAAACATTTTAATTACATTACATTAATCGATCATAAACATAAATTAATATTAATTCAAAGCAATAAAAAAAAAACAAAATTAAAAAAAATGTCCTCAACCATTTAATTTGCCTTTTATATTATAGTTATATCTATTTCTTATCACAACTATATTACAATAATTATTATTCTATTTATAATTAAACTAAATTTTTTAATTGATTTGATTTTTATTTTTTTATTACAATTATTATTTGAAACAATTTTAAAATATATAATTTACAAAATTAAAAAAAAATTTTTTTTGAAAAATTTTATTTAAAAATAAAAGAAAATGAAAAAAATAATAATCCCCCTTTGGTGCAACAAGTGTTGCAAAGAATTACTGAAATCGTCCTCGACATCACAATATTGTGCGTGCTGAATCTATATTTTGTTTACTTTCATTGAACTTTAATTGACGGTCATTTATCCTCAAACTCACGTGCAATGTTCTTATAATAAATTTGTAATGCCTGCCGCCTGACATCAATTCAAAACTTATAAAAATCATCATTAGTTTATTAATAAACATTAAATTTAAAAATATATACGGAGCTTTCATTCATTTCATTGGCTGCTTTTCAAGGTCATGAAAATACAACCAATCGACATCACGTGACCTTGAAAGGCAGCCAATGAAATAAGATTAGGTCCTTGAGTGGGCGTTTTTATTAAAAAATTCATAAAAACAGAAGACACAGCTGATTATTGCATCTGGGCTTTCACGGAAAAAAATATTTACATATCTGAAACAGCGATATGTTTCTCTAGAATATCGAAAACTTTCCCTATTTTAATAAAACATATCGCTGTTCCAGTAAAACTTATTGCTATTCCAAGTAAAGATTTTTTTCAGTGTAATATTTTACAAATAAAATAAAAAATTAGATCTAATATAATAATTATATTATATACTTATTTATAAAATGTAATTATAATTATAATTATTATTTATAAATATAATAAAAATTATAATAATTATGGTATTATTAATATAATAATAATAATAAAAATAAATATAAACATAAAAATAACAATAAGAATAATATTAATAATATAATAATAATTAATATAATATTAATAAAAATAATAATAAAAATTGTTATTATTATTATTATTATCATTATTATCATTATTATTCCAGATTATTGCTACAATTATTTTTGTTAAAAATAGAAGTCATCTCAATTTATAATCTCTTGCTCCTTTCCGCTATCATCAAAGAGAGATCCTCATTAGAATGCACTGCATCTCTCTATACCTTATAATCAGCCTCATATGTTCTTTTCAAAAAAGAAAAAAAAACATAATTTCCCGCATATTAGAAAATTAACACGTACCCGCACATGATTATCAGAGAATCAGTAATTTTTTTTTTTTTTTTGTCCCACAAAAAATTAATAATTGCTCTGTGCAAAAATAGGTCATTTTTTCACTTAGAACACAAATAATCTTTTTGTTTTCTATCAATTTTACACTTAGAGAAATGGTATATTTGTCTCGGAGCCTACTAACTCATTTATTTGTTGCAAATATATTTTATTTCATTGAAATAAAAAATTTATTTGAGGCAAAGAAAAATTTATTTCTGACAAATAAAATTTTTATTTACGCCAAATAAATAAGTTAGTAGGCTCTGAGACAAATATACGTTTATTTAACTCAAATATATTTTATTTGGTTCAAATAAATCATTTCTCTGCGTGTACAACATCACCGTGATACATCCAGAGAAAAATTATATTTAAACCAAGTATATTTTATTTGAGTTAAATAAATGTATATTTGTCGCTCTAGACTTTTTATTTGTTTTAAATAAAAATTTTATTCGACATAAATAAAACATATATATTTGAGCAAAATAAAATTTTATACGACATAAATAAAATATATATTTGAGTCAAATAAAATTTTTTTTAAAATGAAATAAAATTTATTTCAAACAAATAAAAAGTGCTGAGACAAACATATCTTTTCTCTGGGTTATAAAAAAATAATAATTAAAACTATTAGTTAAACTTTTTATTTAAGTTTTCATTTCAAATAATTTTTTTACTGTATTTTAAAAATTATTTTAATAAATTTTATAAATATATTTTTCGAGAAACGAAAAAAAATATTTCCTTATCCTTTTTTTTTTGTTCGCAACATTCAACAATGTTACGTTATTATATGCGGTTGCACGCAAATCTCAAATATATATATCGGTCTCGGTCTCCAATAAGCAAAAGTTTCACGTGTATATAGCAAACTTGTGTATGTGACGCCAACGCCAACGGCATTCTCGACTTTCGATTTGAACGTCGAAAGTGATAGTTTGTGAATCTTTACACGAGAAAGGAGAGTAGTCGTCTCCTTTATACTTAATCTTCGTACATATATCGCATTATTGTTTTTCATCTTCTTTCTTCAAAAAATTTTCTCAACATTTTTTTTTCTTTAGCACTTCCGGTTTCACGATAACCGATTATAAATTCTCCATACATGTGTGTGTCCCGAAATTCTAGACCAACACATTTTAAACATTGATATCGCGAGAAAGAGAATGTTGCTCTGAAAGTCTTGTTTTCAGAGCTCCAGTTCGTTCATATATAAATCCCCATTTTGTTTTCTTGCAATATTCGAAACTACATTTTATATACAAATTATTTGCATAGAAAAATTATTTTTACAAAATATAATTGTAAAACTATTTCCCGAATGTTTTGAAAAGACAAAACAATTTTTGTTAACAATAAAGTTAAAACTAAAGTAAAAAAAGTAAAAGAATAAAAACAAAAATTCGATATAATTATATAATGTAAATATAATTATATGTATTATAAATAAATAAATATAATAACATATATAACTATATTAATATTGTATAAAAATTATCCCCGAGGGGATTCGAACCCAAGACACAAATTTACAAAGCGCGTCACTTATCACCCAAGCCAATGATAATATTAATTATATATTTATTTTTTATTGTTTGGGCATAAAAAAAACAAGTTGCAAAAACTAATTACATAAAAGAATTTTCTTCACCGAAAAAAAAAAAAAAACATTTACTTACGCAAATTACAGGAATGTTGTTTTCGGGTTTAGAAAGGCTACCAACTATTTATAAACAGAAAAAAAATTTAGTTTCATTTTAATATTTTATAAATAATTTTATGGCAAAATTTTTGCTATGTATACCCATAATTTATAAACAAGTTTTGAGAAAAATTTACCTTTTTTTCTTTGAAATATTATAAACATATTTGTAAAAAAAAAAAATAACGAGGATTAATTTGATAAACGATTTCATGTATTTCAAATATTATGTAATAAAGGAAAAAAGGAGTTTGTAAACTATGTTCATGAACTCGAGAAATTAATGAGCAATTGTAAAATATTGCAATAGTAAACAGTGTAATTCTAGTTTCAAACACTTGTTTCTTTTTTTTAACAGTTATTTAAATATTTTCTAAAAATAACTATTATTTGAAAAAATTAACTTTTGCAAATTATTTAAATTGCCCATATAAGTTTTACTTTTTCCCTCCCAAAATTTTTATAAATAATAAATCACTTCAATTTTTGTTAAGAAACTTTCCATTTTTTGTCAATTTTTTCCTCTTTTTTTTTAGAGAGAGAAACCGTAAAACTGCTACAGAAAGTAAAAAAAAATGCTTTATTTATGCATGACTTGCTTTCCAATAACTTATATCGAATTTCAAATTTCGAAAACTACTCTCAAGGTTGCTTTACTGATGGAAAAAAATTAATTATTTTTAAAAAATTCGGATAATTAAAATAATAACCGTGAATAAAGTAATTAACACAGTGATAGCATGACTTTGTGATGTCTATATTAGGAGGACATTAATTATGTGAAATACTGTCTGTCGTATTTAGCAATAAATATTTTATAGCTGAATAATTTCACACCTGCTAACATATATAATTGTTTCTCAAAGTTTAATAAAAAAAAAAAAAAAAAAAAAAAACTAAAATTGTCTGACACTTAAAAATTACCATTATTATAAATATTAAATATTCGAATAATTTTTTTAAATGCAATTAATTTTTTTTTGATTTCAGAAAAAATGAGACTTTCAACGACAGTGCTTGTGACGGCTCTGTGCATAACAGTAGTCAATTCCATTCCAGTTCCAGAAAACAATGGACTTGAGTCACAAGTAAGACTAATTTTTACCATTACTAATCAATTATTATTTTTAAAATTAATAAATTATTTAAAAAAATATATTATAACTTAGAAATTGGAGAAAGGCTCCCGTAAAGAAACACTAACAATAATAATTATTATTGTCATTAAACTTGGTAGGGAATCTAACAGATTTCTGAAATAAATAATTTCATCAAAAAAAAAAAAAAAATTATTGTAAATAAAAAATAATTATTGTCTATAACAAATTGTAATTAATCACGCATTATTTATATCAAAACAATAAAAACAAAAATTAACAATAATTGTTCAAATAAAATATTAAATTGTATTTAACGAGTGAGGATTCTCAAGAAAATAAAAAAATTAATATTTTTTATAAATTCTCTCTAAATCTGAATTTGAATTAGTGACTCACTTTTTGCTTCTGAATTAATAAATTTTAACTAATTATTAGTAATAGTAATTACTAACAATTAGTAAAATTTAACTAATTCAGAAGCAAAAACTGAGTTACTAATTCAAATTAGTAAACTTTTCTACTAATTCAGATTTAGAGAGAATAATAAAAATTTATAAAATATATTTTTTTATAAATAATACAAATTTATAAAATATATTTTTTTACGAACAATAAAAATTTATAAAATAAGTATATATATATACTTATTTTATAGAAAAACAATTTTAAATAAATGAGGTTAAATACGTGCAAATTAATAGAGATGAGAAAAATCTTCCCTTGAAGTAGAACAATATAAACTTCCATTTTTCTATGCCAAAATAATCGTTAAATTTCTAACCTTCGTTATGGATCGTTTAATAAATCGAATCATTCGAAACGAAACGATAAAAATTAATAAGCGTAAAGTAAACCAAGCAATTTCGTCACGGAACTAAAATTCGAAAAATTGACAAATATATTGACATTGGTTAAAAAAAAAAATATGTACCAATAATGTAATTTTTGTGAGAAAACGATTTTTTATTTTATTATAATTTGACTAAAATGTCAACCGTTTATTTACACATTTATTTATTAGCCTTTTTCTTAATGTTTCTTAATTACGAAAATCAATTCCATAAAATTATTTTTAAATAATTTAAAGAAGGTCGATAGTTGTTTTTTTCCTTCACATTTTTTTTTTCTCACTAGTATAATCTTTCTCTAAATGTGTCATTAAATTGTCTGTCAAGTGACCTATCAACCTTGGAGTAACTAATCACCTCTATTATGCAAATAGATAATTAAAAAGAGTTAGATGTGTAAATGGGTTACGTTATTTTTTTTCACCATCAGTCACAAACTATACTGATAATGATTTTGCAAAACAAACCCGCATTGTTTAGAAAAAATAAAATTATGATAGATGCGAAGAAAGATTTCGAAATTTTCTCCTCATTTTTTAGAAAAAAAAAATTTTTCCGATTACCCAGTTCTTTTTTTGCTTTGATAAATAATGTAAAATAAATTGATCGATAAAATAGCATCACAGAAAATATAAATGTTTAAAAAAATTCTTTGAAATTAAAAAAAAATTTTTTTTTTTATTTGCCTGATGTATTGAATAAATAAATTTTAATTTACTAATTTCCATAGATAGTTGTATTTTACTTGAAAGAAAGTTTAGTGCACTCTCTACAATACAATCAAAACTTGAGAAACAATTGGTAGATAAGAATTTTTTTTTATTTGTTATAATCAAATCATTGCGACTATACCTAAAAACTTGAGATATTTTTTTCGTACAGTTTTTTGTTACTCGCAATTTTCCATATGTTCGTGAAATTGAGCAATGATTTTGACAATTTTCTGCACGTAATGGAAATTTTTTATATTAACATTTTTTTTTAAATTTGAAATATAAGAATTCTTCAAAAACAGAAAAAAAACAACAAAATACTAAAGCGAAATGAGAATTGCAAATAAAAAAAAAAATAATAACAAATAGAAATATTTCTTCGATTTTGAATATAATAAGAAAAAATAAAAAAAATGATCGGATGAATCTATGAAAAAATTATAAAAAATAATAACCAGAAAAATCTTTTATTTACATTTATTTGAGACAAATAAAATTTATTTGAAGCAAATAAAAATATATTTGTCTCAGAGTCTAATAACTTTTTATTTGTTTTAAATACAAAAAAAAAATATTTAGAGCAAATTAAATTTTTATTTAACTTAAATAAATATTTATTTGGCTCTGAGACAAATATACCGTTAAAAAAAATTTGAAATAAATAATTTACTTGAATATTATCAAATAAATATTTTTATTTGTATTAAGTAATTATTATTTGAGTCGATTAAATGTTTCCCCCCAGAAAAATGCTTTATTTCAACTAAATATAATATATTTAAGTTAAATAAACGTATATTTGTCTCACAACCTCACAGAAAATTAAAAGGCATTAAAATGAGCTGCAACGCTTATTATTTTAATCCAATTTTACTTATTTTAATCCATTTTGGTATTAAAATAAGCAAAATTGGATTAAAATAATAAGCGTTGCAGCTTATTTTAATACCTTATAATTTTCTGTGCTTCTAGCCCATTTATTTGAAGTAAATAAAATTTTTCATTTAAATCAAATAAAAATTTATTTGCATCAAATAAATATTCATTAGTCTGTGAGACAAATATATCATTTCTCTGGGTGTATATTTGGTTCAAATATAGAAATTATTGGTTCAAAGACGCTGTTTATTTAATTCAAATAAAAATTATTTGGTCCAAGTAAATATATAGTCAAGTAACCGATTATTTGAATCAAATAAATTTTTTTTAGTGTATCTTTTCCCTGGATGCAAATTCAATTAAAATTGGATAATTTTTGAAATTTTTTGAATTTCAATAACAAATTGAGATTTAGAGAGACCGAAAAAAATATTAACAATGAAAAAAAAATACATCCGCAATGTGATTGGAGCATAACTTGAAAATATCGCTTTCACGTTTTGGTAATAGCCTGACCCTGAATTGCCTTTCCGAAGCAATGAAATGAAGTTCTCCTTGGTTTACGTAACAGACTCGCGAGAAATTGTGACGTTTACTAATGCCGCAGTTTCTGGAATGTTAGGAAGATATATCCGTCGAAATGTTTCGAGTCTCTGACTATAGGTATATATATGTGTGTACCAACATATATATATATATATTATAAGATTCGTGCAACACTTTCACTATATTTTGCCGGTGAGCCTGCGAGTTCTCTGAACACTCGCAAAGTCACCGGATACTTTCTTTGGCTGATCGATGCCCAATGGAAAGTGCAAAATACTCACCAACTCTCACGCACACGCACTCTTCTAGAACCGTAAACGTTTCCGTACATCCGCTGCTTAAAATATTTTATTTCATCAGTGGCGTAACTTTTCAAATTTATCATTTTTCCAATTAATTTATGGAATTTCCCCTGGGGGGAAAATTGACAAATATTTTCATTTTTCAAATAATTATATATACACCCAGAGAAAAGATATATTTTTCACAGAGCCAAATAAATATTTACTTGTTTCAAATAAATTTTATTTGAGCTAAATAAAATTTTATTTGAACAAAATAAATTTTTATTTCTGCTAAATAAATTTTATTTGCGCTACATAAAATTTTATTTGCACAAAATAAATTTTTATTTGTGCTAAATAAATTTTATTTGCGATAAATAAAATTTTATTTGTGCTAAATAAATTTTTATTTGTGCTAAATACATTTTTAGTTGTGCCATATAAATTTTTTTATTTAAAACAATAAAATGTTATTAGTCTCTGAGACAAATATATTTCTCTGCGGGTGTATGCTTTCAAAGAATGTCTTATTTCAAGAGAGAAAGAAATGTCTTATTTTCAGTTACTAAATTCTTAATAAATAACAAAATTTTATTATTTAATTAATACTAAAAAATAATGTTATTATTTATTTAATATTAAATAATAATGATATTATTTATTTGTTATTAAATAATAATTTTATTATATAATTAATGCTAAATAATAATTTTATTAATTTAGTTAAATTATTAAAATTCAAAAATTCAGTAATTAATTTAGTAATTCAAATTACTAAATTTAGTTTTATACAGAGTACAGAATCCACACAATAAAAATTTCTAAATCGACTTTTTCTATGTTTAAAAACCAAAAGTCGAAAAAATTTTGGCGGGTCCGGTAAATTTCAAACTGACTATCAGTAATTTGGTTTTGCTAAATTTAAGACAAGGGTACTTAAAACCAGTTATTGTATAAGTTGAATTTAGTACATACATTTTTTAAGTTAAAACAGATCTTATTTTTACAAAATAGTGTAATAATAATAATAATAATAATTTAGTTTAAATTAAGATTCCTCTTATTTTCAAAACTCACTTAATTTCAGATGCATCTTAAAATAAGATATTAAAATCAGTATTATATGAACCAACAAATTAAAAAAAAAGTCTTGTTTTAAAATGACTCTGACATTCTGCTAATCACCATCTTAAATCAATTGCGTAAATTCAGTAAAGGCTGTCTTAAAAATTTTGCATCTTAAAATAAGAATGCCTTCCGCCTGTAAATAAAAATATCTTAAAATATAAAAATAAAATCTTAACATCTTCTTTATATTCTGTATAACTCTAAAATATTTTTAAAATAAATTCACAGAAAACTGTTTTTAAGACAAAATTTTGTCTTAAAAATTATTTTCAAACTTAAAAAAAAGCAAATTTAAAAAAAATGAAATTTCTCAACTGTACGCCGTTGCACTTATATGTATGTTAAATACATGCATAATATTATTAGAGACGTCAAACCAGGAAATTCATTTTTCTTTGAATTACAAGTTTAATGAACGGATAATTCGCAGTTAGATATAGACAACATATATCTTTAAAAAATGAATAAGAATTACAAACAAGAAAAATTCTCAAATAGGAAACTTATTGATCTAAGAATCGTTTAGACAAAATAATTATGAAATAAAATTTTTTATTCTTCGATTAATAGATTATTATTATTATTATTTT